TCTGTTTGCTTCTACATTTTTGCATTTGATATTGTATAGAAGCACAGGATGACATTCAGGAATTGGAAAGTTCATGCATTTACTGTCCAGCTATCTTTAGGTCATTGGGTGTCCATCTCTGATCAGCTTGTGATGGTGTCAAAGCTGGTGATTTATCTGTTTGAATACTGCTATTTCACCCAGTAACTGTTTTCTAGTGCAAAACTTGTACCGGATTTTCTTAGTGGAAACAATTAGTCTGATATTCCAGAAATACATGTGAGAATGGAGCAGTTTCCTCCTTGTGCAAGTTTAGGACTGAGGAATCATTTCCAGTGTGCTGTTGTTAATACAGTGGTTGTGGGGGCTCTGTTTTCGGGATTTTTAGCTCCTGTAATTTAAAGGAAATGTTTAAAGTGCCTCGCTTTTCAAGCAGGCTGGCATTAACCCAGGCTGCAGCGGAAATGTGAGCTATCACTCAGTCACCTCAGGGGAGAAATCAGTTCTTTGTTTGTGGTTGGTGCTCAGTGGCAGTCGAGTGTGATGCCAAGTAGATGTGCAGAGAGAAGCTTCTCCCGGAGGATGCCCCACAGGAGCTGTGTCCAGACAGCATTCCGAGGGCACTGCCAGACACAGAACCCACCATGACCCACCAGTGACCTGTGCTTTTTGCCTTCCAGAAATCAGGAATGGGAATCTGAAGGCCATCCTGGGGCTGTTCTTCAGCCTGTCCCGCTACAAGCAGCAGCAGCAGCAGCCCCAGCAGCAGTGCCAGCCTGGAATCCCACCACAGCAGCAGCAGCAGGCACCCGCTCCGCTCCACAGCCCCTGCCAGCAGCCCCTGCCAGCCGGGCAGCAGCTCAAAGCACAACCAGAAATGCACTCCAGGTGGGGAAATGGCCTTCAAGATGCCTTGCTTGTTTGGGTTTTTTTTTGTTTTTTTTTGTTTTTTTTTTTTTGGTTTTTTATCTCTCCTTCTCGTTCAAGGTGTTAAAAAGCCAAAAAAACGCCTTTTCTTTGCTGGAGAATAGGGAGTGCAGCAGGTGATTTCACACCCTAGAAAATCAAAACACGTGTGTTTGAATGCATTCTCAGTGCTGGAAATCTGCAGCCCAGTGGGAGGAACATCCCTGCTATACCAAGGAGCCACAGGATTTTTAGAGGAGGTTTTTCTCWCTATTTCTTGKGCTTCTTTCTGCTCACAAAGCAYRCACATTGTTTCCCTTTGAAAATGTRYATTTTAGGCRTATGAAAACCARCTCCAGCTCTCACATTACAAGACTTTCAGTCCYCTCTAAGAAGGGGAAGGGTTGGTTACCTTCCACTGTGGGGAAGGGTTAGTCTGACAGTGGTAAAAGAAACAGAGCTCACAAGGCCTGGTGGCAATCAAAATCCAATCCAGGCTTTTTGGGCAAAAATAATACTCTGCTGACTGTACATGAAAAATGATTTTCATAGTTGGTGTTTGTTGGCACTCCTGGCTCAGAGTACAGATGAATAGAAAGGGCCTTTGTTCCTGGAATGTCTTTAATTCTAGGAGTGTCTGCTCTGTCCAGGTTGGCATAAAAACCATTAATGAGTCAGTGCCACTGTGAATGCACAGAGTGCAGCTCCTGCTGGTGTGACCCTTCCCCTGCCAGGACAGGGACTGGGGGTAAATGACCAGGATTAGCAGCAGAAATCATAATCTGCACAGTGACTGAAGGCTTTCTTGGGTTTCCATAYCTCAGATTGAGCCTTGTTTGTGTTAACACCCACTGAGGTGAACGCTGGTTTAAGTGCTGCCGCATCAGGGGTATAAACAATTTAATAGAAGCCTTCCCAATGAGACTGCTCAGAGGTTGTTTGGTTTGGCTTTTATGTTTTTCTTCACCAGGGATGCTCATTTGGGTGCAAACAATAGTTTTGTATAATTGAAAAAACGATACAAAAGCCTGTAAAAGCTTGTACAGGAAGTAATTACTGTAAAGTAACAATGTGTTTGAACAGATTTTTGCAACTTGGCTGTCAAAAACACACACAGATGCATGGGAGCATTTGAACATTGCCTTGATATTTTTCAGTCTGCTGTGTGGATTGGGCTGGGTTTCAAATAATTGAAATTTATGTATATCCTTACGGTCTCCAATGTCATGTTTTCTCAGTATGTACTAAAGTCAAATTGTTCAGGTTCTACAGCAAATATATATAATAAAGGATTGAGAAGGAAAGGAGGGATAAAGTTGGGGGTTGCATGCAGATTTACATGTTCATAAGTCTGTCAAAATTAATTAATTTCARTTTGTAGTGGTTTTGACCTGAAGCCATGCTTGGGCAAGAAGCTTTATATTCCTGTGAAATTGATAAAAAAAACCCTTTTCTTCTAAAGCCAGTTACTAAGTTCAGTGGGTTAAAGAAACCAAACCAGAAAAAGTTCTTTGTTCAATGTTCTCTTCCGCTTTTTCTTTCCTGTCGCAGTGCATCTCCCAGGGACTCATCTCAAAGCAAAATCATCCGATTCACTCTTGGTCAGAAAAGGTCTTCTAGGTTAGCATCTCTTCATCTTTGCACAGCATGAATAATCCTTTTGCAAGATTCCTGGCTGCATGTTCAGGGTTCCTGTTGGTACCTAGGCCTTTATGAACGGCTGAAATGTGAAAGTTTTTAAAAGGATTTAATTTTTTTTTTTTGAGGTGTGGAATGTATTTTGGCCCGCAAGGGAATAATTTGATTTTGTTGTTCTTCGGAGCTTTTTGCTTTTGAGAACAAAGCATGGTTCTGGGAGTTCTCACCCCACTGCATTAATTCTGTTYTGATCTGCACTGTTGAAATCATAGAATCAGAGAACAYTTTGGGTTGGAAGTGACCCTAAAGATCACCTGGCTGCATCAGGGCAGTGTCCCAGCTGGGGAGGGGGCAGCACCTTCATGGTGTGAGCCCCACAGCCCTGTCCCAGCAGAGCCCCTGCTCTCCCTGTGCCCTCACAGTGAGCGTTTGTCATCTCCCTGCAAATGACTGAGAGGGATTTCAGTCCCTTTTTCCCCTGGATCCCAGCATGACTTGCATGCCTGCTCATCTGACCATCCCATCTTAGTGATCATAAGGGTTTCTGTGGTTGTTAATCTGGTTATTAGGTTTATTTTGCTGCTATAATGTATGACTAGAATACAGTTTTACCTTGGTGAATTACACTGTACTGTTTTTGCTAAATTTGTGAGCTATAGTTTATGGTCTTTATTCAGTTTGTCTAGATTGCTATTTCAGCTCTATAATTTAGATTTATTTCCTGAGTGTTACTTCTTTTGTGATAACAGTGAAGCTCTGCAAATTTAACTCATGTTAAAAAGTTCCATGTTTCCTTTTCACGTTCTTCCTTGATCTCAATTATGGCTTGACAGCTCCTGTTTGCTTAACAGAGGTGCTGAGGAGTAGTAAAGGAGAGCATTCTCCAAGCCCAGCACCTTCTCTCTAAACAGCAGGAATTCAGAAATGTCTTCCTGAACCTGATATTTTCCCCTTAGATTTCCCAGACACTCCTGTGAAATACCTTGACCAAAAGSAGGGGCTCAAAACCAGTTGCTTAAATGACTGGGGACAAAAAAAGTCTAAGAGCAAGAATCTCTTCAAGAGTGTTTTTGGCATGTAGGGTTTTTATTCCTGGTGCATTTTTATTGKCAGTGACAATACTGACTCGAATGGAAAACTTGTCACTTCTTAGGTGGTCACATGGTTTGAGGAGCTTCATTTGCTTTAAGAGGTGCCAGATTTGCAGAACCTGTGTGGGTGTGTGTGGGGAGCCTTTCCTTGTCCTTAATACAGGAGGATTGTCCCTGTAGCCATCCTGGGGTGGGTACCCCACACTCAGGGTTTCAAACCCACTGGAAACTYTGAGCTGAGGCACCTTGTAGAAAACCAAGCTCGTTTCCTGTCAAACAAAATGAACTTTTCATGAACTCCTTGTSTGGGTGACTCTCAAGTTCTCAAGGAGCTTTCCTTGTCACTGCTTGCCCTCTGCCTCTTCCCCTGTGGTCTCCCCTGCAGGGGATGAAGCATCTCTGGGCTGTTCCATGTGCTCCTTGCTGCAATGATGAGGATGGAAAACTTCTTAGCACCCCCCAGTGTTGGGAAAAGCTGGATAATTTGAGAGACTTGTCTAAAAGTCAACCTCAGAACCATGATGTGCTGTGCTGAATCTGTGGTGGTTTGAGCTTGCCAGTTCATTTTTGGGTTTGTATTTGGGGGATGCTGTCATGTCTCAGGCTCTTTGGAGCTCTGAAAGCATGTGCATGCAGCTGCTGATGCTTTGGCTTTTTCTTCATGTTTCTTCTCATATTTTCTATTTCTTCACYAGTCTTGGAGAAATCAGTTTGTTTAGGAAGCCCTGCCAGGTTCCTTCCTGGCTTCTCTTCCTTCTCTCAGAGGCAYAATGGTGATTTGGTCGGTTGTATCYCCACTCTCTCTGRCAACTGGGACTTCTTCCTTTTACCTTATTATTGGACACCAATTTTACCTTATTATTGACATCAATTATTTAAACAGATTTTTGTATTTATATAAAGAAGCTTTAAAAAGATTTTATGTATGAATAATTTTATGTATGAATGTTGGCTCTGAAGTGTCCTGAGATGTGATGCCAGTGGCTTTCCTGATTCTTTTGGGGTTTTTAGCGAAGTCTTCCACCTCCCTTTTTGCCTGAAAAGCATAAAAGYTTGTCTGCTTACTCCAGAATACTAACTACATCTTTTTCCTAGTTAGTCAGCTAAATCTGGTAAATTCAGACTGTGGTAAGAAAATGCTGCAAGAGACAGATGCCCAGTTTAAACCAGAGGCTTACAGCAGCTCACTGACAATGGGGTTGCTCTAGGAGGGAGCGCTTAAGCTTTGTGTGATTTATATARGCTCAAATAATTAAACCAAGCTAAAGTTCTGCTGGGCTTGGCTGCTGAGCTTTGTAGCTGTCAGGGCAGAGAGGTGATGTGCTTGTCCACAAGGGGAAAAGCAGCTGGGTTCCATCTCAGTGTGGTTTCTGAAATAGGGCAGCCCTTACAGCGTGTGACCAAATGTCCGGCAATCCTGTTTAAGAGCAGCAGTGTCTCACCTTATCCTAACCTTTACCAGAGGTGCTGCTCCACTGAATTTACCTGTAGCTGTTCCTGATTCACCACATTTGTGACAGCTGATGGTTAATTCTGTCTTAGAGTTTGTTTTTCTGATGTAAAACAATTCACACCGTGGCTTGTTTCACAAATACTTTTCTTCTAAGATGACTTTTGGTTTGTTCTTATGTAAGTAAGAACCCTTACGGGTCTGTACCTGWGCTGCTGACCCTTTTTATTTTCAGCTTATGCATGGTATCCCATAGTCCCTTCCCCAGAATGCTTTTTTCCCCACTGTGCTTGACCGTGCTGCAATTCTCCCATCAGACTCCCCGGCCCCACCACGAGGGTGTCCGCTGCGGGCAGCGAGGCCAAAGCTCGTGGTTCCATCAGTGCCAACAACCGGCGCAGCCAGAGCTTCAACAACTACGACAAATCCAAGCCTGGRCTGCCCCCTCCCACCCCAACAGGTGGCAATGACAAAGGTAAGAGCTTCATATTTTGGATTTCTCTCACTGGTGGCTTCATTCGGAGGAAATGGCATTTTCCTGTTAATCTCCAGAGCTGGCTCTTGGTGAAAAAAGTGTGGTCCTCCTTAAATATATCTGGAGTTGTCACTTGCTGGCCTGAAGGTACATCCAAAAAATARCTTTGAAAAGTCCTGGCACTGGTGAACCATGTTTTTTCATTTTGCCTCTAGCATAGATAAGGGGAATGAATTAATCATGAAATAAGGCATTTTGATGAGTAGTTTGACAAAAATGAGAAATGACCACTAAAGATTTCTCCCAAGCTTTTCTATGATAAGTRGTACCAATTGCTTTCATTTCCATCACTGTTGTGGAAGATCCTTTATGATACAAAATCACACCATTTCAGTCTAATTCCAGGAATGATCTGGCGCTGTGTTTGAGAGCAGGGGTGTGGTGTATTTTATAAATGTTGCAGTGCATCAGGAACAGCACTGTGCTGTGTGTGAAGCAGAGCCTTTTTTGAATGACATTTTCTGGCTCAGTGTCCATTCAGKGATGACATTTTCTGGCTCAGTGTCCATTCAGTGATGCAGCAGTCTGACAGCCCTCACTAGCAGGGACTTTCTGAAATGCCCTAGTGGGATTTTGTCTAAGAGAAAAATTAAATTTGCCACTGTATAACATAGTTAGTACAACTRTTTTACAAATTAATGTATTAGCACAATATGCTAATAAATTAGCAACAATCTACCTTGGTAAATCCACGCTTGATACTTTCAGCAATGATTTAACTGTAACATCAGCACAGAATGGTTGTCTCTAAACCTGAATTAGCTCTGGCTTTCAGTTCAAAGAACAAGCTRACAGGTTATGGTGTGAGCAGTACAAACCTTGTTTTCCTGTGAGATTTTCTCTGTCCTTCTCATGAATGCTCTTCTGCTCATGTCCCATAAATACTGCACGGGGCAGAGATGGGCTGGGATTTGTGCTCTCCTGAAGCGTGGCTTGGATGATCCCTGCTCCATGTGCCTGGTGTGACCTTGTGCTGCATGCAAGGGAGGACTTCCATCAGTTTGGGCTTTTTCTCAGTTTACCAAGATTACTAAATAAGGAAAATAAAGTGCTGGTTTTAGTCTTCAAAAAAGAAAAAAGAAAAAAAAAGTTCTTAGGCATTTAGAGAACTAACAATAATTTGTCAGCTGAGCAACTTAAATATCAGCTGCTCCTATCAGTTCTGGGAACCCTCATTCCTCTCTCTAATTCATCTCCTGAGAAAGATAAASTGGTTGCTGAAGAAGCACATGAGATGAGCTGCTTCCTATGAATATTACAAATGACTGAAGGAAAGAGGGCTGTTTTTTAGGCTGACAATCCACATAAGTTGCATTAACTGCTCTGAATTTTGCTCTGGTCAAAATTTCCAGTCATAAATTATAGTGTTAAAAGAAAAAAAAAGAAAAAARAAGAATGAGGGCTTATGTAAAGTTGAACGTGAACTTTTCTTAWAAATATAATCATGACACAAAGTTGGTCTGCATCCATGAGAAACAAAARCAGTTGGTCTGACAAATTTTTGGCTTATTTGACGTTAATTGTAACACTGCCAGGCAAAGTTTATTGTCAGAGTGCTAAGACAATTCACGTTTTTCTGATCCATATCCTGTGTTTTGCCTAAGAAAACGAGACTTCCATGACTGTGCTGTGTGCCAGGCTTGGTAAGTTTTCATCTCTTTACCCACTACCTGCTCCTTCGTGTGTTTTTGAGGAAGGAAAYGGGAGAAAGAAAAATCAGCCTCTTTTGGCATGATTGTTCATTTTGTGAGAGAAGGTGGCCTTCAGTGTCTTACRTTTGAATAATTTCTTGCAGAGTAGGTTGTAATTTGTAGCTTTTATTAATCTGTGGCCTTTCCCTCTGAATGCAAATTGTCTGGTTAGTCAATGGTCTGTGTCTCGTGGCGATGAAAGTGCATTAATTGAGACAGAACACATCAGAAGGAAAAGGACAGCAAATGGAGCGTGGAAGAGCAGCCAGCTATGGGGAGTAAATAACCTACATTTTCTAAAAGATTCTGTATATTGATTACTGATGAGAACACTGATTTTCTAGAAATCTTGGGGGAAGGATTTGCGTAGTATCAAGAATAATTGCTCCATTGCAGAAAAATGAAAGGTTCTTGGGTTTGATGTGAGATGTGCACGAGCTCTTAGCAAAGGAACACGTAGAGAAGCAAATCTTTCTTCCTCACAGCTGACCTGGTGCCTTGAATATTTTATTTTTTTTCTCTCAGTCCTCACATGCTGTCTGACACCACATCCAAGATATGGAGGAGGGATCAGTGTTTTCTAGGCTTGGACACCTCCTTCAGTCCTGGGGCACCTTCTTGGAGCTGAGGGCATGATGGATTTAATTTGCTTTTTGGAGTTAGCCCCTCACTTTATATGCAAAATTCCCTTTTTATAGGGAATTTACCCAAACTCATAGGAATTTCMGGTCCCTCATTGCTGATATCATAAAGTGGTAACAGGCTATGCCATGGTTTTTATTTATTGTCACAGTAATTAACCATTGATAATTGCAGTTGCATTCTAGACAGGATGGTTTTATGTGTGTAATTGGTGTTACAGGCTTTTGATAAAGAAAAATGCCATTGAAGACTTAATTGCATTTTTGGTTTGTGGGGAAATAAGCCACTCTGGCTTGTGGGGTTTTGTTGTTTTTGTTTTTTTTTTATGTCATCCTTTTAGGATCTCCAAATAAAACAGAGCCAAAATTTTATTCTCATATGCAATGTAGAATACATAAATCTGCTTTTTATCCATGGCAAGGAGGAGCAGAGCTGCATCCTAGGTAGTACCAAGAATGAAACCTAAATATATTAAACAAATAAAATATATTGACAGATCCACCTTGAGGAAAGGCTGTGATGCAGTGGATTTTCTCATCAATTKATGTCCCCAGTGGAGAGGCTCTTGAGACGTGCTCTGAAAGCAGCCTGCAGTTCTGCAAAATGAGGATTTTTTTGACTGCTTCTGAACACGCCCATGTATCCACTGTCTTCACTGTCCTCCAGGCACTCAGTCTGCATTTTGCAGCCTCAGGAGTCTGATTGGGAGTATTCTGCTTATGGCTTGTGTCCAGTCTATGAAATCAAGAAGTTCTGAAGCTGTAGGAAACATCAACTCATTGTGCCATCTCTACCATGCTGGTGATGTGATACAGTGCTTACATGCTTTCTTTTATTTTTTATTTTTTTCCTTTACGTTGCTCCTAGTACTTTATTTAAAATAGCCCTACAGAGGGCAGTAGAAGTCTGGGAAAAAAGGCAGTTTTCCTTTGGATGGGAGACTGTCAGTAGAAAAAAAAATAACTACCAGACTTTGCCCATTTCCACTTTGGATCAAAGGGAATGTTTGTTACTCAGATTTATAAAGAAGGCTGTGCTAATGATGTCAGGCTTTTCTTAAACAGAAGAAGGAAAATCTCATGATGTGCACACAGATTCAGCCAGTGAAATGAAATAAATGAGTGTTCTGATAGCAGTGCTCTGCAGACTTGATACAGGCTTGATGAGATGCTGCCAGCTCGGTGCTAGTCCTAGCTCTGCACATCTCCATTTTTTAGGGATGGATGGAGCAGGAGAGCAAGAAACCCTCTCCTGCTCCTTTTATTTAATTTCTTTCAAATTTTGGATAAACCCTTTTAACTTGGAAATTGCAAATATTTAAGCACCATCCTTTAATATATGAAGGGTTGTCACTGTGTTCATGAGGATGTGTGGGGACAGGACAAGGGACACACATTCCTTTATGGGAAATCCTTCCTGGAAACAGGAATAACATTCTTCACTATGAGAAGAATTAAACCTTGGAGAAGTTTTTGTGCAGAGAAGGGCTGGAGGTGTTCAGGACTGGCCTTGACAGGGCCCTGGATAAACTATAAACTCATCTCAGGCTCTGCTTGCAGCTGAGGAGGGTTGGAAGGAATATCTCCAGAGGGTTCTCGTGACCTGCACTGTTACCACATTTTCATACCTTTAAATATTACTTCCTTTTCAAATTTTTCTTAAATGTAAACTACTTCAATAGGAAGAGATACTGAGGCATTTTGAGGGACAGTTGAGGAATTTCTTTCCTCTTAAATTTTTAAGAGGTAACTTGTACTCATTGTGACACATTACTAACTGTGACGCATTAACACATTGACACATTAACCCTCAGATTGAATTAAAAAAGACTGCATTAGCAATAGACAGGGAAAACTCTCATCTTCATGTTGAGTAAGGCGAGAAACCTGCAGGAGGAGATCAAAACTTACATTTAACTGCACATTACACATTAATGTGACACATTACTGAGAGATCCATTTCATGGGRTAAAAAGAAAAATATACATAGAAAACCATCTATATACTAATGTACAGATRATATTTKTATCTCTGTGTAGGTGAGTATAAAYGGAAAATATGTAGATATATTGATAYATAAATACAGAGGTATATTGATACATAAATATAGATATAAATATACATAAATATATAAAAATACACATAAATRTAAGATATCAGTAGATATGTAGAAGTAATATACATGAATATRTTGGATATCTATTTTTCTATAATATAGGTATTTATTTAAATAGATCTCCAGATATCTGTATAAATATAGGTATGTATTATGTAGCTGTGTGTATACATTTGTCCATGTAAAAGATTTAAATCTATGTAGAGAATAAGTATCTAAATATATCAAATACATAGGTATAATCTCAATTTAGAAATATCCATCAAACTGATTTCAGAAGCAAAGGTTGCAGTGTGAGCTGTGACATGYCAAAACACCTGTATACTAAAAACTTTAATTCCACATAACTATAAACACTGTAATTACAYGTCACTTTACACATCACTTGCTCCTGTGACTACTAATAACTTTACTGATAACTTTGTGTGATCAAAATAGGGCTGAGTGCCATCAGTAGAATGTCMGCAAGGAAATGTCACCCCCCTGCAGCGA